GCTGCCTCCTCCGGTCCGCCTCAGCCTCGCTCCCCCCCCATCCTCCACGCTAGCGGGCCACGAATACCCCGCCTCGTCTCCTTCCCTCTTCGGAACCCCTCGCTCCCGCCACTGCCGCCCCCAGTCACACCTCCCACCCTGCCTCTTGTAGGCTCTCCCTCCCTTGTCCTTCCTCCAGGCTCAATCTCCGCCTCCTTCCCCGCCTTCCTGGCCTGCCTCTTATTCTGCACTCTTGGAGCCTGCACGCGGGCACATCCACCTTCCTTCTCTAACGTGTGCTGAAGGCGCCTCCTTGGTGAAGCCTTTTGACATACTCCACATCCTATGACTCGCTTCTCCAGGGCACTTCTTTGTACACTGAGCACTTAGTAGGCACTTAGCCGGCCCTCACTAACTTCTCAGGGGGCTGAAGTCTAGTGCTGAATAAATGGGCCAGCTTTCCTTTGGCTGGGTCTGGCCTTCTCGAGCCTCCTCCTTTTTGCCCTGGAACAGTAGACTCGTGCAGGACCAGGATGGCAGCTTCCTTCACCTTTCTAGCTACAGCTCCACTCCTCACACTTCAGTGCCTAGGCCAGAGGCTTCTAGTACTACTTTTCCCTGCTCTTCCCCATCCTGTTTGGATCTGGTATTTTTCTCTTTTTACCTTGGGCTGCAAAGCCCACCACCTTCCTTTCCAGGACCTCTTTCTCCCCTTTCTCCTACCATGCCTTCAATCAGAGACTTGCTGGACCAAAAGAAAATTCCCCTGACCTGTGTCACTCCTTCCTCCTTGCAAGATAGCAGCTGCTTCCCAAACTGAACTTGGCAAAGAGTCCTGACACTGAAAGGCCAGCCAGGAAAATGTGGGTGTGCACGGGCCCAAAAATTGGATAAGGACATCTAATTGAAACAGGGTCTTCTCTTCCCTGCTGCTTTCTACACATAGACTATGGTTTGCCTTTCCTGGGACAAGGAAACAGGAAAAGGACTTCTTAAAATCTATCTCATGTTACTTTAATATTTGTTGAAGACTTACGATGAGTTAGGAGAATATCCAGAAAAACACAGCTAGGCACTTTGCCTAGGAAACACTTTCAGATGTTGGCTGCAAGCCAGACTCAAAATATAAAATACAATCTGCTATATTATCAAGCCATTGTCCTCCTATCCTTTCCAAGTCTGGTTTTCCCAACAAATTATAGCTTCAGAGCCAGGTAGCCTTGTCTAATTCCAAGCTTTTGTACAGCATCTACCATAGGCTGGATGCTCTTCAAGTGCTATTTAATAAAGAACAACCACAAACAAGAATTGATTCAAAAGCTCACTCACTCATTCTCCATAGGTGTTTTGTTAAATCCCCTGCTACATAACCAGGAACATTAAGTATAGAGCTGTGAAGCTCCTGGAAATGACATGCTGCATCCGGAGACCTCAAGTTCCCATGTTAAAGGAAGTAAGAATGAGGTGTGAAAAATAATATAAATGGAGCCACTTTACTTATTTATTTTTTAGTTTTTATTTGTTGATTTGAGGGAGAGAGAATCATCAGTTTGTTGTTCTATTTATTTATGCACTCATTGGTTGATTCTTACATGTGCCCTGACAGGGGATTAAACCTACAATCTTGGTGTATGGGACAATGCTCTATAACTAACTGAGGTACTCGGCCAGGATTAAATGAAGCCACTTTAAAATGGAGTTGGAGATTCCATCCCAGAAGAGCTGCCTTGAACATCTTACTCCTCAAACTTTTGGAATGTTAAAACTGGGCAAAAAAATAACCTTTGACTGGACCTAAAGTAGCACTATATTCCAAACAACTATTTGCAAAGATAACAAGAAAGCAAACATTTATGACTATGGAATTGAAAATTTAAAACATTCTTTAGAATTACGATCACTATGTTAGCTTGTCTTCTCCTATAGAAATGCCTTCCTTCTATTCCTGTAATTGTTCCCTTTCTCATAAATGCCCCTCCCCTTCACCTCCTATTCCAAATGCTATTTGAGTTTCTGCCAGAATCAGTGCTTCCCAAATAGCTATTCTTTTGGATCTCAAACGCTGTTTCTCTCATTTTGGCTTTTTATTTTAGGTTAAAAGGCTAGAGCAACTCAATAAATGGCTTCAT